GATTTGGTTTAATTTTCCTCAGCTTTAGCTTGAATTTGCATATGAGTAGTTGGTGGTCTGTTCCACAATCAGCTCCTGGCCTAGTTTTCACAGCTGAAGGGAACACTGCATGATTTAAAATAAGGAAAAGTGTGTGTCAGGGTTGTGTCCATTGTCATACCAAGTCAATCTGCTGAGTAAGCAAATATTTTGAGAAGAAGTTGGTCTACATGAAAAAGAATGTAGCATCAAAATCTGAGACTCATAATAATCTGCATCATGCAGATGATACAACTTTGTTTGCTGAAAATGAAAAGGACTCGAAGTGCTTGTTGCATAAATTCAAAGACTTCACTATGGATTGCATCTCAACATTAAGAAGACAGAAATCCTTACCACTGAACTTATAGGCAGCATTATGACACATGGAGAAAAAAATTGAAAAAGTCAGTACTTCATCTTACTTGAATTCACAATCAACATCATTGGTACCAGTGGTCAGGAGAGCAGATAATTTATTGCATTGGAAAAGTTTGCAGTCAGGTATATCCCCAAATTACTGAGGAACAATGATGTCATTTTGAGGACTAAGGTTTATCTGATTCAGGCCATGGTCTTTTCAATCACTTGCTATGCATCTAAGGGCTGTATAATGAGCAAAGATAACAGAAGAAGAGTTTCTGTCATTGAGTTGTGATGTTGGAGACGAGTACTGAATATCCTATGCATTGCCAAAGAACAAACAGCTACATCTTGGAGAAAGAACAGCCAGAGTGTTCCTTGAAGGCAAAGATGAAAAACACTTCATCTCATACACTTTGGGTGTGCTTTTAAGAGAGGCTATTGATGTCAGGTGTTTTACTAGTTTTACTAGTTTATCTTCTAAAATACGGAGAATAAACTGACATCTCCTAAATTTGGGCAGTTCGTGGAATATTCCACACTTTTCTCCAATATCACAACTCAAAAGCATCAATTCTTCTTCTATCATCTTTGTTCGTTGTCCAGCTCTCAGATGCATAGCAAGTGACGGAAAATATAGTGACCTGAATCAGAAATACCTTAATCCTCAAACTGATATCATTGCTCAACAGTAATTTGGAGAGGTTAGTGACTATAGATTTTCTATAGTAGACAATACTTTTTCATTCATTTATTCATTCATTCATTTAAAAAATGTTAGAAGATCTATTATTTTGCACTCATCTTGCTAACCATTCTGATTACTAAGTGAGAAAAGTCTTTTTAGAGAAGAGAGGTAGTTGACCAAGGAGATATATAAAGCTTCAACTGTGTTCAACACTGTGAAGGACAGGAACACAGTGAAACTAAAAGTCCTGGCTCTTAACAGACATAGTGGCTATACTAAGGCATCTATTTGCTTCCAATAATGGTGTTTCTTTTCCTTGACCAAAAAGTAAGTTGTCATATTTTCCCCTTCATTTCTGTAAGAAATCTTCATATTTTAATACAAACAACATACATTGAATGGTGAATTGACATAGTGATGGCTATAGCTCTGTGTTAGTGGCTTAAAGAGTGTGAGTTAGCAGATTTTGTTCTTGAGATTTTTGAAGTGTTAGGGTAAATGCATCTTGACATCAAGGATAGGCATATGTATCTAGACCTTAAGTGAATGCTTATAGCTTTATATAAAGAAATGTATTATTTCTTCAAATATAAGTTGAGAAGAAGGTTTTTGTGAGGGTGGAAAGCAAATAAGTATGGTAAATGGCTATTTACAAAGAGAAGGCTAGATGTGATTAATAAAATCCAGTGGAATATTCATTCTCTTTCACACATCAAACTTTGTCCTTTATCATCTTTATCTTCAAGTTGATCATCTGATAGTCAATATGTTTTTTATTTTTCTCATGTTATCCTCTACTTTCAAGGAGCTCAAATGATGTAGTGCGTAGCTTGTTACTTTTCTTACTAAAAGGCCTTGTTGCATCTCACAAGATTATAATCCACTAACAGCTGTGCCAGAGAAAGAGGACTAGTCTCATTCTGTTAAGATTTACTATCTCAGTCACTTGGTAGATGTATTCTATTGAGCTGGAATCAACACCACACCACTTAAAGGTGGGTTTTCTGGTTGTGTTTTTTTTCATATTCTATTTTTTTGCTTTTTACTTCTACTTAAATTTCATTTATTTCAATTTTCTTTGATTCAATTGATGTACTTTAAAAATAATTTTTAAATTAATTATAAAATTTAATTTTGTGATGCTGAACACATTTCATTTTCCCATTCTGGTTAGATTATCTCCACAATGTGCTGGAAACCAGCCAGTCAGGATGGACAGGGTTGGAGTGACGAGGAGAGCAGATTAAAGAAACATACTACACAAGGGATAGGTTAGGAGAGGCATACAGTATGATACTGTAGCCCCAAGTTTATTCTCCTCTGTCATTTTATCCTCTTTTTGCAGTGAACAGAAAAACAAATCAGCCTCAAGGTTGGCAGTACATTTCATTCTGATTTACAAGCCCCCTGCTAGCTCAGCCAGGCAAGCCCTTGCTCTTCTTATCAGCAGCAGGAAAGACCATCAGAATTTGAATATAAGCAGAGTCTTTAGGGAGGGACATTCCATTCTCCACATCCCCACTTAGCCCTAGGGTTCAAGGAATGGTTAAACCTGTCTCTGCTTTCCTTCAAACATCAAACCACAATGATAAACAGCTCTGGACTTTTGAACCTGGCATAAAATGGTGATTTGTTAAAAATGGCTGCAATGTGGCTGGCTACAACAATGAAGACTGAATTACTTCCTAGTAGGAGCTCAGGCAGAAGTTTCTCTAGATAGTAATCCTTTTTTTCTTTTGAACTCTAAAAATATTTATCAAATAGCATCGAATATTTTAAAAGGAAGGAATTATATTGAGATATATAGGAAATAGTCAACCATTATATTTTAATTATCTCACTTATAAAGATCAGGCATTTATAAACTAAATATGTTGACAGAATCAGTTGTAGAATTCTGGATACTTATTTAATCTTGTTAATAAATCATAAAATTAATTCATTAGAAAATAATAGAGCTGGCCTGATATCATAGTCATAATAGCAAGAGGAAAAGTTGAAGTTTATTATTTCTATTTTTGTTTTTCTAAATAGTTCATGAAAAGAATTGATTTCTTTTTTCTGACTATAATGAATCAACCAATAAGCACTTATTTATTGCCCCATTTCTAGACTTCAACATTAAAGTCTCTGGATGGATATACAATTAATCCCATTCTTAAGCTTATTTCAGACAAACTGAGAAGTAAGTTTCACACTTGAAAAGATATCTAACCAAGAATAAATCACAGCACTGTGGTATGAAAATATATATATGTTGGTAGGGTAGATATTAAAAGTCATTGATTTTTGGTTGACAGTAAATATGGTGTTAGATTAAGTTGGCACTTTTAGCCATTACACTAGCCTCCTGTGGTCTCCAGCCATCTTAACTGCAGACACACGTTCTTGGAAATCATCAACAGCCTGTGGGACTAGGATAAGAGAGTGCATCTCGCATTGGGTAGCAAGATTTGAAGGTCACTGGAACAAGATCCAGTTTAGAGTGAGACTTTAGTGGCAAGACCATGGTGAAGGTGGTGGAGAGACTGTGGCATTGCTGTGGAGAAACTGTGGCAAGATGTAACCAGAGCAGCCCTGAGATAAAGGTCACAGTTAAAGGGTTTTGCCAAATGTTTGAAAGAAAAGCTGACTCATAACTGTTCTGATACAAACCTTGCTGGATGATTGAGAAAACTAGAGGCTTCTTGAATTTGTACTGCTGAACTGAAATTTGAGCCTAGACTAATTGAGGAATTGTGCCGTGGGACTGCTGGACTGAAATCTGTGAGTAAAGTCTGCGAGTCAACAATAAATAAAGGAATCTATAGTTGCTGGGCTAGGAGGTTTTTATTTGCTTTCTGCTCTGGGGTAGGGAAGGGATGTGCTGTTCTCTCTCCCTCTGGCCCTTTCAAAGAAACATTCAAGGCTCTCTGCTCTCATGTCCCATTTTCTGCTCTTTAGACAGTAAACAAATAAGCAATTTTAGGACAGGAGTTATTTTGTGATATATAGAAAATATTATATTGGCTCTATTCTTTGGTGGAAAATGAGAAAAGAAGCCTTCTCAATGCTCCTTTTATGTCCTTGTTTCTTAGAGTATAGATAAAAGGGTTAAGCAAAGGAGTCACTAAACTGTAGAACATAGACATGAATTTGTTTTTGTTCTGGGGGTCAGTAGAAGAAGGCTGTACATACATACAAATTACTGGCCCATAGAAGAGTGATACCACCATTACATGAGAACTACATGTGCTAATTGCCTTCTTTTTTCCCTCAGAGGACTGGATCTTTAAAATGGTAGCTACAATGAACCCATAAGAGAGAAGGATAAGGGACAAGGGCAGTAAGGAGTAGAGTGTCCCCCCAATGGACAGCACAGCTACATTGAATGTAGTGTCAATACATGACATCTTGATGATCACTGCGACCTCACAAAAGAAATTTTCCACCTTGTTATTGCCACACAGTGGCAACTGGACAGTGAGGGATGCCTGAACCAAGGAGTGAGCCAAGCCACTTAGCCAAGCTATGACTACCAGAAGGATACAAAGTCGCTGATGCATGATAGCTGAGTACCTTAAGGGCTTGCAGATGGCAATGTAACGATCCAGAGACATCACAGCTAAGAAAATACATTCAGTGGCCCCCAAGAAATGAAACATATAAAACTGAATCACACAACCCCCATAACTTATAGACTTATCAGGTCCCCAAAGGTTCAGCAGTAGCTGAGGGATGGTGGTTGTTGTAAAACACAGGTCCAGGAAAGAGAGGTTGGAAAGGAAAAAATAAATAGGGCTGTCCAGGTGAGGATCTATCTTTGATACCACAATAATTGAAATGTTACCCACCAATGTGACGATATAAGCTACAAACACTATCATGAAAAGAGGCCTTTCCAACCAGGGGTAGTCTGAGAATCCCAAGAGAATGAAGACATTTGGAACACTTGCATTGCCTGGATTCATGATTGTCATTACTCTTGTTGGTACAGTGAAGAAGATTGATTCCTTTGATTCTTAATTTACCCTGTTAAATTTAAAAAAAAAAAAGTCACAGAAGGATTTTCTACATATTGCAACTCTAGTGAAACTTGCAAGCCCCCAAAAATTTATTTTGAACTTAAATACTACATGTTATAATTTCTGTAATGCCTCTAAAAATACAAAACTCTTCATTTTATAAAAAAATGCAACATCTCAAATTTTAATAGAATAATGATTCGACTCAATTCATTGCTGTCAAGTCAAAACCAGCTAGTATCTGACCCTGCAGGCAGTTCTCCACGGCTACAAATACACTAAAGGAGACTATGCATCTTTCTCCCATGTAGTTTCTGGTGAATTCAAACTGCTATAGAGTCATGAGCTTTAGGTTATCAGTCCCTAGAGACTGCCATCAGAACACCTTTCATATTTTATTTATTTACTTATGTTGTTGTTGTTATGTGCCATCGAGTCGCCTGTGACTCATAGCGACCCTATTTACAACAGCCCTAAACTCCGCTCTGTCCTGTGCCAATCGCACTGTCTCTGACACTCCCATCCCAATTATCCCAGTCACTGAATCACCTTAGTCTCCAGAGAGACACCACTGCTCTTCAGCACTTTGGAGAGGTCCCTAACAGCAGACTTTCCCATGGCAATGCGCCTTTTAATTTCCTGGCTGCTGGTGCCAAGACTGTTGACTAAAGCTGTAATAAAGGTAAATTCATAACTGATCAAAATAAACAAATGCATCTGAAAGCATGCCCAGGAGCTAATGGTGCTAATTTACTGCTTGTATCCATTTCTTTTATTAGTAGTCTGCTGACCTTAGCCATGCTCTAGTTGAAATTAAGAGTTGATTTAGGGTAAGCTTAGAAGTGATTGAGGAGAGCTCTGGTGGCCTAGTGGCAAGGAGCTGCAACTACAATCCCAGAGGCACACGGTTCGAATCCACCAGATGCTCTGCTGGGAAAAGGAGGGACAGTCTCCTCCTGTACCAGTCAGATCTGATTTGACGGTACACTCACACAAAAATTAAATAAAAAAAAACCGAAGTGATTGAGCTCCATCTCAGTTGATGGATTGATCTAATATGAATAGAAACAACACAGAATGATCTTCTTTTCTTGTGTGTGAGGAAAAAATTCATTTAGAATTAGCCAGCAGTTTAGATGATCCCAATTTTGTTGGCAACATTCAAGGCATCATAGTCAGGAGCAAGTTGAACATAGGCCTTCTTCTGATGGAGAGCCATCAGCCCTAACCAAGGTGTTGACCTTGGCTACATCAATGTCATAGAGCTTCTTTACAGCTTGTTTTATTTGTTCTTGTTGGCCTTGACATCACAAAGAACACAAGTGTGTTGTTATCTTCTATCTTCTTTATGGCTAACTCAGTGGTCAGGGGAAATTTGATGATGGCATAGTGGTCAAGCTTGTTTCTCCTAGGGGTGCTTTTCCAGGGATATTTGTGATGCTTTCAGAGTCTCAGCATCTTAGGCCTCTGGAAGGTGTGTGACATGAGGGATCTTCTTTTTTTTGGCCGTGGATGCCCTTCAGGACTGCCTTCTTGGCCTTTAATGCCTTTGGCTTTGGCTTCAGTTTTGGGAGGGGCAGGGGCTTCCTTCTTGGCTTTCGGTGCCATCTTTGTAGAAAAAAATGGTATTCTTTAAGTCAACTCCTAAACTCTAAAATAATTTGGGTTTTTGCAGGAATAAAACTTATGTTATAAAAGGAAACATGGTAACATGTTTATTACAAGAAAAACAAGGTAAGTAATAATTGATTGCACATCTGGTGCTAATAGGTCGTCAGTGTTTTTAATCACAATACAATGCATGTTAGTATTTTTCTTATGGTAGTTTGCAATATACCATATCCATTTTAATAATTATGTACTATTTTATTGATTTATTATATTTATATTTATCACAGTTTTATGTGGGTCTGTATTACCTGGATTAAAATAAAATATATATTTATCTCTACAAGTAATGATAAAAAGCTTGAAAAATACACATGTAGTAGAAAAATAAACGTCACTCAGAATTAGAAAATCGGGATGTAGGCCATTGCCAATAGCTAAAACTTTTATGTATTGCTTACATACTTAGGACCTCTCCATAATTTTTCTATATTACAAGGATTAACTAATTCAATAACTAATATCACAATTTAGTAAGTGAAATATTTCATATCAATTATTTCTATGAAATATAGTGTCCTGTTTGATTATGAGTCTGTAACTATTTAACTTTTTCAGACTATATCCAAGCACTAACAGTGTTCTAATTCTCCTATAGGGTTTTCATTGATTTAGTAATAAATTTACCAGACTATTTACTTTAAATAGTCCTGTCTTTAAGGACTGGTAATTGATTAAGAAAATAAACCATTTTGTCACTACAGGAAAAAAAAATAGCACATCTAATAGGAATGTACTTTATTATCTTTAATTTTTTTAAATTACTGAGATCATTAGCCTTGAATAAGTTAGTTATTTCAAGATTTTAGTGTTAGTTAACATATTAAAATATGAAGACAAATTGTATCCCAATATTAATTATAAAGATACATTTCAATGTTTTATAAAGATGTATTCATACTGGAAAAATTCCAACTTAATCACATATTCTTTAGTATGCACTTTGCATAAAAAGTTATCACATATACAGCATTATACAAAAATATCAAACTACAGCATAGATCAAGCCCTTTAACTTCTTCAACACCTACCTTAAATAAGGTCTGATTCAGTATTAGTACTCTGTCATATTGGGTCACAGTGGGTTGAAGTCAATCCAGTGACATCTAAAAACAACCCTGTTTTTTTCCAGCAAAAAAAAGATACTGATTTTTTGTTTGTTTGTTTCCATCAGGATTAAATGTTAAGAATAAAGATTGACTCTTATCCATCTTCAGTTACTTTATTTCTTCAACTCTTATTTGTTTATTTGGTTTGAATGATCTTAAATATTTTGAGAAGTGGAAATCTATATCCTCCAAAACAACTTTATATCATGTTTTTACTCTTTATAGAAAGTTGCACATCTTTGTTACCTATACAATTAACCTCACTAATAATTTCTTGGCAAAAGACACTATAGAATTCCCTAGAGCATATATCTTCTAACTTTTTTCATTTCTCAATAAAATGAAACCATTAATAATGATATTTTCCATATCCTGTTGAATGCTATACTCAATAGTAAAAGAACCTTCAAAAATTTAATCTGCTTCAACAGTTCACGAAATTTTTTTTCTTAGATTATCTGGGGAAATGTAAGACAATCAGTTTAGTGTCTAAATTCAATTTTATTTTTTATTTCTATTTTTCTTAAAATATTTATATTATTAAGATCCCTGGCATAGTAAAGGCAGAGAAATCCTAGTTCCACATAGAAATGAAAGTGGCAAAAAACCTGCCAAAACAATTTTTAAGGAATCAAAAGATTCTTATCTTTGAATATTTCTTCTACAATAGATTATTGCAGTATAGATTTTTTTACCTGAAACAACATTGTACTAAAGTTCCTCATTCACTCTAAATAATAATAGCACTGTGTTGAAAATAAACAAGTATAAATTACTATGCAATAAATTTTTAAAACTATTTATTGAGTGCCTACTTGTCTCATTCTTCTTTTAGTACCTTCAACTCATAACTGAGCCTCCACTAGTTTCCAGGGTTATAAATCACATGGGAAGAGAGTGCACATCTCACTAGAGCTGCTGGTGGATTTAAACTACCAAAGAGAAATGGCCTTTGGATTAGTAGCACAACTCCGTGTGGACTGCACCACCAGAGCTGTCATTCTCCTAGAGTCTACAAATATAACCAGAAATGTAAAATAAAATTTGTCCTAATGAAATCTTAAGTTGCAACTGAGAAAAAAAAATATCTTTTTTCTCAAAAGAATGCTGATGTCCTAATGGGTAAAGAGTTGTGCTGCCAATCCAAAGGCAAGAAGTTGGAATCCACAAGCTGCTCCATGGGAGAGATGGGACGTTACCTATCATGCAATTTACAGCCTCTGGAAACTCACTGGAGGGTCAACTATAAGTCAATACTGACTTGACAGCAAGTAATAACAACTTATTCTCAAGAACCCATAGTGGATCAGAGGTTACACTAGGCTAATAACCTAAAGCTATTAACCACAAGCTCTCTGTAGGAAAAAGATGGGACTATATACTTCTATAATGATTGCAACCTTGACAACTCTGAAGGTTGGTTCCACTCTGTTCTATAGAGTCCCTGAGTCAGAATAAACTTGAAGATGTTGGTTACTTGTTCTGAGATATTGGAGAAATAATAACAACAACAATAATAATAATAATAAGTTCAAGCTTCCACATGGCAAAAATAAATTCTGTATACATTTGATTTAATATGGACTCTAAGTGGATCAAAGACTTTCAACCTTGCAATCATTCTTCATGCAATTGATTTATTCACCACCAATGCCTTAGTTAGCAGCAGATGGGGGAAAAAAATCCCTTGTATCCACAATAATACTATGCCACACTCAGGAGTAATGATTTTGAAAAATACTACACAACATGGGATAGACTGCAGAGCATTATGCTGACTAAACTAATTCAGTCTCATAAAGACAAATACTGCATAAAACTATTATGGTAAAAAAGGTTAACTAGCAAAATGTGTTTGAATATCAAAAAGAGGAAGAAGAGGGGCAGGGAGGCATAGAGTGGGAAAAGGGGAAATCATAGGGTCATGGAATTTGGTGGGCAAAGGGAGCGGGTGAAGGACATGGGAAAGATCCAGTGGGAACCTGAAAAGACAGGATAATGGTAGATTAATCACAATGGTGAATAATTTATGAAACACAATATATGGGAATGATTGAATGAAACAAAATGTGAATGAAGGAAAATGAAACACACTGTATATGTATTTTATATACAATCCAATATAAAATAATCATTTTAAAAAGGCATGTTACATTGGGAAAAATTGCTGTCAAGAAACTCTTTAAAGTGCTAAAGGGTAAGAATTCAGCTTAAAGACCAAAATGTACCT